TAGTGTTAATGAAATCAAAATAATCAGAAGAAAGCTGAAAGAAGATAGTGATGATGAAATAAAAAAAATCAGAAGGAAACTGAAAGAAGATAGTGATAATGAAATCAAAATAATCAAAAGGAAACTGAAAGAAGATAGGAATTTTTCATATAGATAGCTTTTCTGTACTTATCTGCCTCTAAAAAACCTATAAATAAAAGTATTCCTATCTTTTTTGAATTCTAAGATATTACCTAGAGACTGGCATCGAAAAAACACTTAACCGGTTTACCTCTTCATTAGGGAATTAATTGAATATAAAATGGTGGGCTAATGACCATGGCCGAGTGATTAAAGTCAGACTGTCAGACTGGCGTGTGGAAAATCGCGAGTCCGATGCCCGCGGGTACAAAATTCTGGCGTTTTTAATTTCTCGGTCTCACTGTCGAGCGAGTTTCGCAAAAAAGACTATTTTTCCTGGGTCCAGACGAATGCCGGTACAAGGAGATTGGGACCATTGGGACTCGTAAAGACCCGAAAATGTATACGATTGAATGAACATTTTTTATAAAATGATGGGTTTAGAAAAATTTTCCAGAGCGGCTGTAAATTTTCGGACAAAATTCACTAGCCACTGTGGCATATGGCACATTACTAGGGGGTGAGATGACTTCTGAACCACTGAGTTTGTTCCACACGTGAATCGCTAGGGCTCGATTGATTATAGTCATTGTCGTGTTTTTCTCGTTCTCGTCGAAATATAGTTTCCATTTTTTATAGTGGATGGGGTAGAACGATGAGGGTGGATATACTGTGAAGCCACGACATCGTTTAGTCGTCATATCACGGGCCTGTGGGGGAAACATATTAATGAGTCTAAAAAATTTATTCGGATACGGTATTCATTTTATCATGAGGGCATTACGTTACAGTAATAAATCTGGACGAATTGCCTAATAAAAACCGTTTATTTCCTACTAATTAACAATAATTTAAAGATCCTACTCGTGAATTTTTTAATGAAAAGTGGAAAATTAAAATGGAGTCGATTTTTTCTTCAGTTGAGTTTTCGACTTTTTGAAAATACGGGATAGATAATAAAATTTTTCAAAAGTTTTCAATAAATCTCAGAAAAATAGAACAAATAAAAAAATACCAGTAGAACATCCTAAAATGCATTTTAATGCATTTGATACGTTTAATTTCTTCGTTGTTGAATTCAACATCTGTCGTAGTAAGAGACTTGGGTAATTTAGTCGCAGGGGGTATTCCCACCTGGACAGGATCAATTATTCTGCATGATCGTTCAACTCACGTATTTAGTGGCGCACAATTTCTGAAGAGTCCTTGTAATGACACCTGGACCGTTATTACCCCAGACATCGCCCCGAAAATTTTTCTTCAAATCTCGCAAGCAAGCATCAGCGATTCTTCGGCCTAAACCACTCATTCCGAACCCAAGAACACCAGCAGCCACGTCCTCCCAATCCTCTGCCCCCGCGAAATTCGTCAGTTTCTCCAATGACCTGTCAATTTTTTTTTCACGATATTTTTATTACTGGGAAACAATCAAATTTTGGACATAATTCGCCATTATTATTGAAGAATTTATAAAAATTTGCATGATCAACAGAATTAAATTCGAGTATCGTTTTCCTTAATTTCTTTGATTATAATTTCAAATCGTGTAAAATAGAAAAAGAGAATTGATTTTTATTGAATTTAGTTAAGAAAATGGTATTTCACATTTTTGTGCATACGCTATCAATAGATAAATACAGAGTCAAATTTTTTCATTTCAGGCGAAATGAAATCGTTAGTAACTGTCCAAAGCAGTTACTGAAGAGATGAACAAATTCATTAGAAAATCAGCGACGCTGAAATTAAAGGGTTAACGGAATGACTAAATTAATTACTTGAGTCTTCAAAAGATTTACTTGAATGGCACAAAAGATGGGATTTTCCAAGTAGCACTAATAATTTTCTAAATGAATTTCCGCTCATTATTACTGTCTTAAATTTTTTTCTTAATTACCTATGCACTCATTATTATTCGACTTTCGATAATAAATAAATAAACAGTCTCGATTTCGCTAATTGATTTGATTATTTTATCACTAAAAAGATATTACTTTTTATAATATACAGTGAAACAATTTTCTGTGAGAGAACTTTTATTAAAAATTGATAATCTGAATGAAAAAGCGTACAATGAGCTGGGAAAACAGATCTATTATCTTTCGATCGGAAAAACAGGATATCGATTTCTAGTAAATGGACTCTTCCGGGGAAATAGGATTTTTTATTATTTTTTTCATAAACTACGAGTATAGTATTGTTAAAATCAATACTACATACGTTGGTCATGAATTCTTCATTGTTGTTCGTACGGCTCTAGGTAAGGAATGTTACAAGTGCAAGAAATTCCGTTTCCTTTGTTTGCTTCAATCAATAAAAATTATCCCAATGAATAATTATTTCAATTAGAGTCCGGAATTTATATGAAATTTTTGAGTGTCAATGCCTTCGTTGTTCGACAATTTGCGCGCGTTTTTCTTAGCTCTGTACTAGAATTATTCAGTATCAAGGGCACTAATGCTTTAAAATTATCTGATTAATTTTTCAAGCACGAGTGCTACTCGATGGATTATTTTTCCACTCAGATTTCGATTAAACAGAATGCAATGAATTACATCCAGAGAAATTTTCAGAATTATGTAAAGGACTAGAAAACTCTGAAAGATTAATTTGGTGATTAAAGTAGAATAATTTAATAAAAACTTTATGGACAATTAAAAAATTTTATTTTTTAGAGGAATTACTCATTTTGTAATTATGTTTCGAGTACCCCAGTTTTTGTCAATCCATTTATCACACTGAGTATTTATTCCGAAATGCGTTGATAAGTAACGGTTCAAAAGTAACTAGTGAATTTCCGTCGGCAATTATTCCAAAATTCCCGAAATGAAACAGCTGATTCCACTGCACAGACTTGTTATTTATTATTTATTTATTATTATTGTCTATGAGTTAGGGTGATGCCCTCATCTCCGAAACAGGACGTTTCGTGAAAAAATATATTGTTGAATGCCTTCGGAGAATTTTTCTTTACATCGACGGAACTAGTGAATTTCCATCGGCAATTATTCAAAAATTCCCGGCATAAAACTGTGTAACAGTCTCTAATACTGCGCTCTGATCCAAAAAATGATCTCTAAAATAAAAATTTTTTTTTAGAAGGAAAACTACGTACGTTGTGACGACAACATCCAGATCGAGGTAAATTCCTCCGAATTTCCAGAGAGTCAGATACCGGAGAATATCAGACATGTGACTCCTCGGCCACTTGCTGGTCCTGAGAATTCCTGAGGCCCACCATTCCTCCAGGGGTGTATTTTTCACGTATTCCTCCATAAAAATCCTTCTGATCTTCACGTTTTTGTAGGCCGACAATGCCTCGACGATTTCCTTTGTTACCACCGAAAAATTCGAGTGACTGAGCACCAATAAGTAAACTTGCATTGTTGGATTCATCCTCGCCGCTGATTCCACTGCACAGGCTTGTCTAGGAGTTAGGGTGATGCCCTCATCTCCGAAACAGGATGTTTCGTGAAAAAATATATTGTTGGATGCCCTCGGAGAATTTTTATCCTCTGGAAAATCATTCACATCTGTTGATCAATCCGTAAACCACAATGTTCATTTATTAAAATATCATAAATATACTACAAAATATATTATTTAAACTATTATAATATTAAAATATTGATTTTAGAGACAAATCGCTTTCCCCTGTATCCCGAATTGCTTTTTTTGGTTCAAATATTTCTGAACGATTGCAGTTCAATTTATTAATAATTCCATTTATTAAAAAACAAAATGTTGAAACCATTTTTAATGCATTTTGGACTCATTTAGTATTTTCAATCATACGTACAACATTCCCAGTCATTATGACAGAAATAGAACCACTCGCAAAAGAAAATACGATTCAAATATAAAATTTACGGTTTGAATATTTTTCCTTCAACTTCTTCGTTATTCTTTCCTTGTGTTGACACTCGCTAAAAATAATAATTTATAATTGCTCTGGGTTCCACGACCCCTTCCCCCGTGGCAAAAATATATATCCAGAAATATTTGCTAATTATACCCACAAATATGTCGCACACATTTAAAAAAAAATCATTATCCGAGATATATTCTGGAAATGTCTCGCCGGCTAGATCACAGATAAATTCAAAATGTAAATTGAATATATTTACGATATAATTTTGGCAAAAAACTATATCTCAATTATAATTCTGGGATTATATATTTTTCTTGTCCTGCCCTAGCAAAAAAATGATATATGAAACTATTAATTCATTTGCTGGTAAAAAAAAAACGTAAGGATTTGGAAAAAATGGAGATACCTGTTGTGAGAATAACTTCGAGTGATCCCGGCGCTGATGTTTCAACATAACAACTTATATCCTCAGGAGGATTAACAAAAAAGGGTATGACCCTCTGCATGAGTTCGTGATTGCTGCTCAATACAACAATGCAGAGTAAAGTTCCCAAGCAGCATCCCAGCAGCACCTTCTTCCTCATCTTCCTGGAGATGGTGGAGGCTCCACCTCTCAATGATATGAAAAAATCAATCTTCTGGACACCTTCCAACATCTTTCAAGACACCTTCCAACCACCGAGGGATATGTTTTATGTCATGGATTCACTTTGAATACCTCGATATCATCCTGGAAAATTCTCATGATTCGCTCAAATGCGTATTGGCAACGGAGAACAGCCCTTGACATGTCGAGGCCACGATTTATCGAAAACTCTTGACTTCATAATGTAATACTTATTTTTGCACACTAGTTTAACGATTTAACAAGAACCTTTATGTCTACATTATTCGGTATGAACTGGTTTTAACGTCTCACACTTATTCCCACGTTTTATTGATCTCACTTTGCAGCCCCTTGCATTATCGAGACGTTTGAAATATCTGTACTCGTCTCATCCAAAAATTAGTTTATCAGGGGATGAATTAATGAGATCATCAAATATTTCATCAAACATGCTGGTTTCATTTGTATAGATGGAAAGGAAATCCTCGAAGCCCGTCTCAGCTGTATGTCTGATCGCTATTCTTTACATACTGACGGTACCTCCATGTAAATACATGACCCTCTTCTTACAGACGAGGGGAAAAATGCGCATGAGTGGGGACCCATCCGGGGGTTCTAACCGAATTGTTTATTTTTTTTATGGAGCGGAAGGGTGGGTAAACACTAGGAGTATCGCGAAATTACGCGAAATTACGCGAATTTACGCGAATTTACGCGGCACATCTTTTTAACTAAAAATCAATAATAAATTGAAAAATTTTTTAGATGCATTAGGCGAGTTGTTCTGTTCTGTTAATGGAATAGGTGTGTATTTGGATAAGTTTAATTATATATGAGTCCAATATATTTTATATTGCGGTATCGATTCTTTATTGGAGATCAGAGAATCTCGTAGATATTAATTTTTCATTGATATTATATTGGAAATTGAATATAACACGTTTTAGTATAAAATATGATAGATTTATAAATTAAGCCATTTGTTTAGGAGATTTCATTACATTCTAATTTTTTTATCAGTATGATAATGAAAACTCGGGAAAATACTGAAAGCTCAAGTATTTCGTAATTTTCGAAATTGTTGGAAATTCATTTGAAAAATTAATTTTTAATTAATTTAATTTTTAACAAATTCCGGTAAAATACAGGATTATTTATGAAAACTGGCACTGAATGTCTGTTTTGTATTTTTGGTCTAATAAATTAATGAGTGGCAGAGAAATTAGTTGAATTTTATGAATCACTTACATTTATTCAAGGGAGTAGAAAGTGGAGAGAAATTTGCAAATTAATTATTTTATATGAAACGGACTGGATAAGTCAGATGGAGAAATAAAAATCTCCGCACTGCGCATCCAGTAGCGAAAAAAACCAGATGGCCGTCTAGTAACTACAAGGTCTAACTGAACAATTATCAATTAAATTGGACCGTCAACACGATATGATTACATCCGGTGACGCAGTGGTGTGCCTATAATTTATAAAGATAATACCACGAAATATTTAAAGGGGCTGCTACCATTGTTTAAAGCCTCAGGTTTACTTTTCGCATGAATCTATTAGTATGCAATAGAAAACCAGGCACATAGAAAGAATAACGAAATTTTTTTGCAAAAATCAAAGTTCGAAATTTTTTGCGCATGGCATGTGCCAAGTTAGGGTTCGAATAAATTTATGATTAATTAGTGGTTTTTGAGTTTAAATTTCGTATTGTTGCGTTAGGGGAGAAAATACTCAAATGAAAGGACAATATATTTTTCTTTGAATGAGTTTTCTAAATCTACGCACGCAGAAAGTACACGACGAGAAAAGTGCAATAAAAATTACTCGAAGAGATGAGTAAAATTTACGGAATGTTATTTGAAAATTCTTGAACATAATGATTCGTGAAATCTCCGATAGATTTTACCAAAGAGGATTGACTGAAGTAGAGGCTCAGTTCTGGAGGTTTGAGTGATCCCACCGGCATCGTAGTACTGCACCCCAAGAGACGGATGGCGCCACACGCAATGGGGGTGTCGTTACGATGGTATTCACTGAAATTGAAAAATGAAAAATTTTCAAAAAAGTATCAGAGGAGCATAAAAATGGAGGAGGTATTCACTGAAATTTGAAATTTTTCGAAAAGTATCAGGGGAACATGAAAATCGAGAAGATATTCACTGAAATGGAAAAATTCGAAAGTTTCAAAAAAGTATCAAGGGAGCATGAAAATCGAGGAGGTATTCACTGAAATTTGAAAAATGCGAAATTTTCAAAAAAGTATCAGGGGAGCATGAAGATCGAGGAGGTATTCACTGAAATAGAAAAATTCGAAATTTTTAAAACAGTATCAGGGGCACATGAGGATCGAGGAGGTATTCACTGAAATTCAAAAATTGGAAATTTTCGAAAAAGTATCAGCGGTGCATGACAATCGAGGAGGTATTCACTGAAATTGACAAATACAAAATTTTCAAAAAAAAATCAGGAGAATGTGAGGATCGAGGAGGTATTCACTGAAATTTAAAAAATGTAAATTTTCAGAAAAGTATCAGGGGAATATGACAATCGTGGAGGTATTCACAGAAATTGAAAAATTCCGAATTTTCAAAAATGTGTCAGTGGAGCGGAAAATAATATTCACCGCGTCGGCTGGTCCCACTGACAGCTCGGGGCCTGCTACTGACGCAGTTACCGAGTCGGCTGACGGGTAGAGACCCCACCATTGGATGCGGCCCCCTCTCTCTCTTGGGGTGAGGTGGGGCAGAATGCCGGTGGGGTCACTCAAACTCCCACTGAGTGGCTCAGTTCTGCGCAAGTACCTCACCCCAAGAGAAAGTGGGGGCCGCACCTAATGGTGGGGGTTCTACCCGTCAGCCGACTCGCTAACTGCCTTACTGCCTCAGTAGCAGTCTCGCTGTCAGAGGGACTGGTCGATAGGGTGAATTTTAAGTTCTGCGTTACGAAATTGGCATTAACTGAAATTTAAAAATTTTATGGAGTCACTTAAATTTTTTGCCCCTTTGTGACCCTTAACCAAATCCACTTAATCCTTAATCAGCGGGTTAATTGGACTTGGTTAAGGGTTACATGGGGGCAAAAAATTTAAGTGACTCCATAAAATTTTCAATTTCAGTGAATACCAATTTCGTAATGCAGAAAATAACATTCACCCCGTTGACTGGTCCCTCTGACAGCTCGACTGCTATTGAGGCAGTTACCGAGTTGGCTTACGGGTAGACACCCCCATTGCATGTAGCGCCCTCCCTCTCTTGGGGTGCAGTACTGCCATGCCGCTGGGGTCACTCCAACCCTCAGAATTGAGCCTCTACTTTAGTCAATCCTCTTTGGATTTTACAGTCGCCAGAGAAATTACGCCACTTTTTCGTATTTTTTTAGTGACAGGCCTAAAAATTGAGTGAATATTTCAGATTTTTCTCCTATAATCTAATATAAATTGACGTAAAACAATTTTTTTTTGCGGTTTACGTGAGATTTTCGTTAAAGATTTATTATCTTCGGAATTCATTAATTTATATACACTGTGGTGCTTGCCCAGAAGATGGCATCACCGATGGTTGCCACGGTCACCTTTGGAAAAAGGTGATCGCACACGGAAGAGAAGACGATGGCCACAGGCACAGGGGAGAGAAGGGAAAAAAAAAGAATGAAGGAGTGACGGTGGGACAGTTGAAAATGGCGGCGCTCGGCTGAGGTGGTTTTGGTGTTTTGTTGGGTGTTAAAAAGTGTGTGTTGTGCTGGAAAGAATCGTGACATTGGAAATGTGGCAGGACCTGGATGGCCTGACTGCCACCACAGTCAATCCTGGGGTCCAGCAGGTCGACCAATTTGGCACCACAGGTATGTCCCAGTTTGTTTCTTACATCAACAAAAATCCTCCCTGTCAATCATCCACTCCATCAGCCCTAATCCACTAATTCATTGCATTTTACCCATCTCTCAATAATAAACAACCCATCACCTCCCCTATTTCTCCACTTCTCCCGAAATTAAACCCACAACAATATTCTCAGAATAATTATTAATGCGGTTTCACCTGGAAAATCTCAATCATCCCCTCTGAATTTCAAAATTTTCTCATCTTCTCACTCCGTTCTCTTCTGATTGAAAAAGTTCAATTGGAATTTTGGGCAAATGGAATTTCGTGGGGAAATCCCCTCATTGAATTGTAAACAAATTGATCAACTGGAGCATCGAACTCAGCGTCTGTTTTATCGACTGATGAATCCAGGACAGTAATTGCTTTTGAATTGGAATTAGAACGGACAGTGTCTAATTCAGGTCACTATAGATAGCAAGTGGCTTCTTTCAGTTTATTTTCTTGTTATGGATTTTCTAAAAATGCATTTATGGTTCGATGTGAGCGATTCTCCGGTTAATATTGGTTAATTATAAATACCAGGGAATCGATAGGAAATTAATAAGTCTATTCCAACAAACGGGAATTATTCTTCGAGGAAACATGTGGTTTTTACCCTTCGCACAATTTCCTCGTGGCTGCTCCAGGAAGAGGGGTTATTCCCTTGCAATTACGTAACTTCCCGGCAGGTGAAGGAAAAAAAATCCTACGGTGTATTGCATGAATATGATTATGCCATTACGGTGCATAAAGCAACGATTTTTTTTTCTCTTGTGTTTCATTCATTTATTTAAACCAGGTGGGGAGATGTGGTGCCGTTAATGGATGGGAATTTATTTTTAGATTTTCACAGCGAATTGATTCTAATCGTCTGCCTCTGTACTATTCTTCAAGGTGTTAATAGACTTTCTTTGTTGCTATTTTTCCAGAATTAACCCCCGAACAGCAGAAAATCCTGATTGACATTCGAAGGAAGAAGACTGAGCTGCTACTGGAAATACAGGTACAATTTACTGTTTTATTCGGTGGTTAAATTGTTGGTTGAATTTTTAGGGAAAAGATCTTCATTCGTTTTCATTTTTGGGAACTCATTAAACTCTATAAATTCAATTGAATGTCCATGTGATACATTTAAAATTTTAGAGGCTCCGGAAATCCTCTGAACTTTTAAGGAAATCATAAAATTCTTTATCAATTTTTAGGAAACAATTAAACTGATATTTGCGGGATGCATTACTAGGCAACGAAAGTCTAAATTAACCAACCACAAATAATTAATTAAATTAATTGAAAATAATTGTTGAAAGTTGATTGGGTTGGTCTTTCTATTCGGCTGGACAGTGACAGGAATTTGAGGGGTTAATGAGGATATGACCGACAGGATGGATCTTTTGTTTTATTAAATACGAGGCGGGTGTGTTAGCTAATTAGCACGTAATTGAATCTAATCAGTTCAATATGGATTAAAAAAATCAATACTAGACATTTTTTTCTATTATTTTTATGTCGTCTTTGCTATTTAAAAAAAAATTTGTTGCAAGCTCTCACTACCTCGCCTTCGCCCAAAAACCTTCAGCCAATTATTTACATTTTATATACATAATAATTAATATACACAAGTAAGGGTATTTGTAAACGAAATTGAGTGTGGGGTGGAGTGATGAAGTTTATTTAATGAGTTTTCAAATGCGTATACCGGATATTACCTCAATGAGAAAGGAAGAGAGGAATTATCCGAAAAGTGAAAAAAAGAGAGCGTTATAGACTGATGATTTATCATGGTTTTTTGGTCTTTCGGAGTTTGAATTAATGACGAGAATCTCTGAAACACTTCTGATTGTTGATTCGTCATCAATGAATCAGAGGAAAAGCGAGATTGATAAGAGACCTCTGGAGCTCGTTCACGAGTGATTATTTCCATAATCGTTGTTGACACTTCCGGCCTGCAACATTTCATTATTTTCGTTCTGGGTTTGGAGTTGAGCAGGTGCAGCGGGTGTATTTCCTGTCTCCAGGTCGACAGTTGCCTTCGAAAGACCGGTAAAAATTTATACCGAATGGGGATTGTCTTCTATCAAAGAAGCATTTGTGAAGGAAGATTCTGAGGAAATAACAAGGGCTGGAGACAAGTGATAACACTGACGTCCGCATTGACTTCGATAGCGGATACACTTAGTCATTGCGGAAACTTTATCTCCTTGTGTATTCATGAAATATTTTTGAATGTGACGTCTGCAGGAAAGAAGCTTTTCGAGGGTTTCATAAATATTTGATTATCTTTGTCGCGAAATAAATTTATAATGGTGATAAAATCGGGAGTTTATAATAATTAGAATAATTGGAAAATCCGATGAACTTGGGGAGAAGTATGAAATTGAATTATTTCAAAAAATGCTCTTGATATTTTCTCTGAATTTCGCGGTACATTTACTCACTGCACGTCACGACTTTGCTCCAATAATTAATGATGAGATCTATTTCCTGCGCATGTTGACAGTAAATATTATCCTTCTTTCTCTTTTTCTGTTCACGATTCATCGATATTTCAGTTTGTTTTCTGCCTCGGTTTGGGTAGGTAATTCTTCGCGAGAATAGCCAATTTCATTCCTTTAATGTACTCACTCTTCTGCTGGTTTTGCCACCGAGAAAAACACCAACAAAAGGTATTCAAACGTATCTGTAGACTGTCGGATGATAATTATTCCCCGAAGGGTGTCTGGACATGTGCTCTATTGAATTTTATTTACAATCGATTTTTTCGTGGAATTTCTCCGTATGGGGCGTGACTGAATTCACCTGAATTTTTTGAAATCGAAAGTGCACAACACAATATACTGAAAAAATTGAATACTTTTTTCGAAAAAATGAATATCAAGCAATAACAATTTCTTTCTCAATGTTTGATATTATTTATTAAAAAAACAATTACTGGAATAAAAAGAATTTGAAAGTTTGTCGTTGAAAGTCTGAAAAGATTAAGAGATCCCCTATATTTTACTTTAGTTTATGCATACATTTTTAATGTCTACTTGAAAGTATTGTGTACCATCTATTTCTCACATTTACGTATCCGTCTTATCAATAACACTTGAGTTAGCTGTTTAAAAAAATGATTATCGATTTATTTTGCCCCATTCTAGTGCCACTTTTAATTGAAATCACATGAGATCAGTCTGGAAATCATGTGAAATCATCTAAAATCAGTGAAGTTGCTTGCAATTATTTAAAATCATTCGAACGCATTTGAAATGATTTAAAATGATTTGAAATGATTTAAAATGATTTAAAATGATTCGAAATGATTTAAAATTATGGGAAATCATTCAAACCGCGAGTACCTCTATTTTTTTTAATGAAAAAGAACAAAACTCGAGACTATCGATATCTCGAAAGTCTGTTGCGCTTATTCCTCATTGGTTCAGTTGTCTGAGGCGGCTAATTTGAATTTTGAAATCATTTAATTTCTAAATTTTCAGTCATGATTTTTATTTGCAATTTTTACAGCGCCTTGTATGGCGCGTTCGGTGTTGTTTATTTGAAAAATCGAAGACCACGAAGAGGTTTCCCCGGGGCTGGCAGATGTCTCTGTTATCGGTTTTCCGGAGAATGGCACGGGTGACGAGGGATTTCTCATCGGAAGGAGTAAAGATTGTCGGATTGCCGACACCGATGTGGTACCCCATGTCAGTCCAAGTCGCACGTCGACGCGCGCGGTTCTCAAATATCCGCGATTCCGCGACAACACTAAAAGACTCGAGTAATTTATTTCTCTCGCGCTGTGCACGATTGAAAATTTTCGATGACTCTATGATGATTGAATCAAAGTGCCTCAATAGTAGCAGCACGAGTGTTTTTATTATAATTCCGATAATTTAAAGGACTTTACGCGGTCCGGATCGGACCAAGAATGATTTTTACTGGTAGATCAGTGGATGCACTAGATCAGGTACAGGGTGATGAGAGACGCGACACAAATGCTATTGCCATTGCAGCTGGATGGTTCTCCAGTTTACGTAGACCTGGAAAAAAGGGCAAGAAGGCAGGACAAAAACCGGTTAAAAGTGCCTGGGATTTGACGACAATATCCACTGTAAGTTTTCAATAAACACACCTGAGGATTGAATATGTCTCGAATAGAAATGACCAATGATTTTCTCATTTTCTCCGTGTTAGTCATCAAGTGACGTCATGAAAATTGTAAACAAATGTCAATGGAAAATAACTCGGATCCATCGAAATGTCGTTTAGATCGATTGATTGATTTATTCTCACGATAGTCTAGGGTAAATGGATGAACATTAAGGCGTTGGTGATGGGTTTTTGCACGCTGATGAATGCCTATTCGTTCGTAACGATCTACGTAATCTCGTCCCAGTTGTGCACAGAAGACTTGGACATTATCAAAAGCGATAATACCAGACTCATTGTTTGCTCTTGTCGTTGCCACCACCTTCTGACGCCAGTAACTACTATAATAACAAAAATCATTTATCTGATTGATTCATGATTTCGTATTTGTCGTCTCGACGGAGTTGCCATGGGGAGAGCCTCGACACGTGGATTTGGTTTATCTTTTGGCTTTCGGCGGTTTGATCTAATTTTTTTTTTTTTGTTTTTCCTCGTCTCTTCAGGAGTCCAGTTGTGAGTTAATTGGCAAACGTAAATGCAGAACTCTTGGGGATTTGCCAATCTTTCTTTGTATTGTTATTCCGGATTTTTTTTTCTCTCTCTTCGAGTTTCTCTTTTTTATTTTATTCGGCTTTTTCTTTCTTTTTGCTGTGTGCCCAGGATTTTCGAGGACGTCGCGACATGTTTGGCTGGATTCCAAAACCACAATGGCCTTGATAATTATGATAATGCAAACGAGTTTGTACGCTGCTAATTTTATTTGGGGTGATGCTTGGGGTGGAGCTAGACTTGGAGATGGTTGTGATGGAGATTGATTGATTTGGGAATTGTGGGTGGTAGATTTTGAATTATTATTCAAATATTCGTGATGTTGTCTTTGCATTTTGTTCAGTCCAGGTGGAGACAAAGAATTTGTTTGCAGTCTTCTCCTTCAGGGGATTGGAATTTGATGAATCGATTGGCTTTGAGGATAAAGAGTTAGTTGGCTTCTTCTCGAAATTATGACAGGACGAGGAAAAATAAATGGCGAAACGACAAAGGAATATTTACCAATATGTTCTATCCTTACGACAAATGCTGTCGTGACTCACGTTATTGGAATGGTCGTTAATTCTCGAATGGCGGTTTCGTCGCTGGAAAAGGATTGAAAAAAAAAAAAATGAAAATCCACATTGCTTACTTGACAATGACGACTTATTTACACTCTTCCAAATCCCGAGGATAAATTTGAAAAACAACTTGTTTGGATCTTATGAAATTTCATGTGATAAAATACAACAGGGTAATTTTACATAAATATCAGTAAACATTGAATGTGCATAAATATAAACAAAGGAAAAAAAATACACTTAGAAAATAAAGAGGTTTGGAATATGTAACCGAGCGTTCAACATACAAAATTAAAAATATTTGCGAATTAAAAAATTACTGTACACTTGCTGAAGACATGACATAAAGTGAGATATACTAATTTACAATTTAATTAATGATCGATTTATCTCGAAAGCTATTGATTGAAGATAGATCACTGAAAAAATAGCAAAGCACTGTTTTTACAGCTGATTAAATTCCTGAGAGGGAACGTCTTGATATTTCCTCTTGAAATCAACAGTTTTTGAGATTAATCGATATTCAACAAGATAAAAATTCGATCTATTTGACAATTTCTCTAAATACTGGAATGAAAAAAAAAAATGGTGTGCTTGAAAATACCGATAGAACCATATGTTTTTTTTTCTCAGTTAGGAACCAATCGTAGCTGTGCCCCTGCTATTTTTACAGTCAAATCAAAAGCTCTGCCCCTTGAGCACTCGACCCGGTGGCAATCTACCAAAAATATCTCCTATTGGCACCGATTTCGTGTCTCTCCAATTCATCCGCAGTGAATTATCAGCTATTAGTCTAAACGATGTATCTATTTAGTTCTGGAACTTTCGTATTCGGTATTTCCCCGGCGAGTATATCCCCAGGGTAAAATCGTTGAGGCATTAAAATTCTTTCGACGAAAAAAAAAAAGATTAAAAAGATTAAATTTGTCGACTCCAGTTATCGTCTTCACAATTTCTGCGTTTGTTGTACGCGCCCTCGTTACCGGGAAGAGCCACTTCCGGTCTCATGATACGTCGACTGAAACGTTTGAAAATTCTTTTGCATTTATTCTCCACGGATATCATACCACAGGCGACTGAATTATTATTTTTTTCTTTTCCTTTATATCTTGTACCTTCATTCATCGTTCTCACACGTTTTAGAGTTGGGTATGAGTCTGGTGAACTCACTGAGAATGTGGAAAATTGAATGGACGAACGGGAAATTCTGGAATTTCCCTGACCTATGCCACTGAATGTCCTTTCCTCAATTGCAGATCTTAAAATAGAAGTGAATGTTCTGCGGTAGGAGGATAATTGGTCAGAGGGTTCTGAGAAATACAAGGGCTCACATCCGGTCAGTCCCTTTTTCAGTCGCCCTTTTTTCCCCTCATATCGGCGTGTACATTTGCATACGCAATATCGAAAATTACATATTTCTCAGGATAATTCAGCCCTCACCACAGCAGTTGCGTGAGGGATTGGAGGACAGTAGCATGCGGGGTGTTTATTTATTCATTTTTTATTATCTTTCGTGGGGAATGAGGATTGAATGGGATAAAATCAAATGGTGTTCTCACGTTCTCGATTTTTAACGAGGAAAAACCTCTGTTCCTGCTATTCTTTTGCGTTGTGTATTAAAATATAATTAGAAACGGCACATACGGTTTTTTCTTCGTCTTGTCGTTAATTAACAATTTTCGGTTAATTATTGATATGTTATGAACATCCGGCATTATTTAATGGAGTTACGACTTTTTCTTCTTATGTTTTACAGTAAAAGATTTCTTGTTAAATTGATATTGAGACTAACCCAAATGCCTTATAATGATTTTCTGGGGACCTTCGGAATGGTATTACCTTTAAATATTACTGAAAGTAATATTGATTATAAAAAAATAACATCAAAATATTATGCGTTAAATACCATCGACCAATATAATACGCCTGAAAATATTTCGATAGTTTTTTTCACTGCATTTCATCACATTTAACGGATTAGTCCTCACACATTAATCAATAAATAATAATAGATAATAATTAATAACGATATTATACAAAATATTCAAAAATACTGTAAGATGTTTCATTTTGGTCTATTATAGGTAATTGTAAAATGTATTCCGTGTGATATCGCAATGTAATATTTTGAAAAATACGATTGAGACATGCAATGTTTTCTCTTTGGAATGATAAAAATAGGAGAAATTAATGGAATGTATTTTGGAATTTCAGCAATTAAAAGATGAACTTGGCGAGGTTGTGGCGGAGATGGAGTCGATGGAGGGTGGAGGTCTCGCCTCGGACGATACGAAGCCCTCCAACAAGGCGAAACAGACGTCCATAGGTCGAAAAAAATTCAATATGGATCCCAAGAAGGGGATTGAGTACCTGATACAGCACAATCTTCTAGCCCCAACGCCGGAGGATGTTGCCCAATTTTTGTACAAGGGCGAGGGACTGAATAAGACAGCAATCGGTGATTACCTCGGTGAGAGGCATGATTTCAACGAGCGAGTACTTCGGGCCTTCGTTGAACTTCATGATTTTACTGATCTCATACTCGTCCAGGCGTTACGACAATTCCTGTGGTCATTCAGACTACCTGGGGAGGCGCAAAAAATCGACAGGATGATGGAGTGCTTTGCCCAGAGATACTGTCAACTCAATCCAAATATCTTCACCAATACCGATACCTGCTATGTTCTTAGTTTTGCGATTATAATGCTCAACACGTCGTTGCATAATCCGAGTGTCAAGGACAAACCCAGTGTCGAACAGTTCATTACGATGAACCGAGGTATCAATAATGGGGGAGATTTACCCAGGGAATTATTAGTTGTGAGTATATTTACATTATTTTTATTTCACTGGGCAATTCCTGGTGATTAAGTTAATGACAGCACTCAGTTACTCATGATTTTTCCTTGAATTCTAATGATTTATACTTCGACATTGAGTACAAAGGAATTGGATGAATATTCTATGTTGAGAAGACCTGAGGATTTTACTTTTTTTGTCGTTCCGATTCGTTCCTGCATTTTTCCTTCATTAAAGCTTCTCTTGAAGCCTCACTTGACCCAAATTTTCGGGGAATTTTGTAATAATGCTATTATTTAAACTTTCAATGGTCTGAATTTAATTTTTATTTTAACTATTTGAAATATCTGGAAGAAAGAGTCTAATTTCAAAGAACAAGTCACAAAATCATGAAAAAATAGCAATTTTTCTTTTTTTCATAAATTTTCTATAAACAATTTATTTAACTTTCTAATACTCATTGTTCTCATGTTTTTTTTGTTGTTTTTTTTTTTTAAAACAATTCTATCAATTAATTTGATTGAATAATTTTTGTTGAGCGTAAAGCATATTAAAATTCAAAAATAATTACGAAGATTGCTCATTGTAATGTGTTTTGAAGCAAAGAATATTTATCAAAGGGTCACTCGTGTGGATGCTCCTTATTTTTCTCTGATAACTTTATTTTTCACGTTATAAAGGTCAGCTATCTCCGCAGTTTGATTAATTGTACATGAAAAATGACTGTTGAACTGATGCACCAGTAGTGCAGACATTCACCCGTTAATTCCTCTGAATTTCATAAATTCTTATCATTACACTCATTTCGAGAATCAGTTTGATACATTCAAGATGTAGACAGACTTTTTCCATTCGAGTGATTTCTCAATCGCACGTTCATGCCATAATTTTCCAAAGGATGCACACCGTCGCATCGACTATTTGATAATCGCATAGCACTGACGCATGCACAATGTTGTGCAATCAATCTAATTTTTTTTTTGTTCTATCCATCAAAAAAGTATTGTGCAATGAGAATAAATTGCGGATTTCTGGTTATGCGTAGAGTCTATACGAGAGTATCAAAACGGAGCCGTTTAAAATACCAGAGGACGATGGCAACGACCTGATGCACACGTTCTTCAATCCTGACAAGGAAGGTTGGCTCTGGAAACAAGGTATAGCATGAAAGTTGAAGATTTTTCATGGTTTTTTCCGTCGTTTGATTATTTCCAAGATTGTGTAGGAATCTCAACAATTTATTCTTAACCATTTGTTTTTGATATTTTATTGCAACAAAGCCGAGAACATACCGCGGAAAATTACTGATTAGATTAACACAGTCTCTTTTTAAAAATTATTGCATTTATTAAGTTAAAATCGAGAATTCCGGGAAGAACAGACACCGCTCAAATCACATCGAACTCAAAGAAAAATATATACAAATCCAAGACTATCATTTGAGTAGCGAAGTGGTGATGTTAGATTAAAAAAAAATTGAAAATCCAAATTTTTCATTTTTATTAATTATTAATTTATCTCGAAAACTATGGATTTACAATGGAAACGTTAAAAGAACTTTTCTGTGACTGATTAGAGACACGATAAAAAAAGTCTTTTGATATCTCCTCCTAAAATCAGTAGTTCGTCGGAGCAATCGTTATTCAACAAAATTTCTCTACTTCGCTGCTGATTTTTTCTTAAGCGTGAGTTAATTATGCACTTCTGAAAAAAAAAACACGCTCTATTTTTCCAAGTCTATTGCCCCTCCCAGCTTATTATATATAGCCTAGCTCAGTGTTCTAGTTAGAAACAGTGGATACAATATGCAGATGTATCATACATTATCCTAGACAGCTCAACATATCTAATCTCTACGATAAAAATAAAAGATTCGTGCCTTGATAATGGATTCGTACCCGAAATTTTAGTTGTGTTATGTCCCAGAAAAAGAGCGCTTCACGTACCATTTTCAGCTAGAATTTATTGTCACATGTAGCAACAGAAGTTGTAAACACATTCCATAGGGAAATGAAAAAAATGTCTCGTGAAATAGAAGATGAATGAATTGTTTTTTCGCATGTTTTATTCCTGTTATTTCGTCTCTGGATGTGCATTAGTGAAAAAACAAGTATTATAAGTATCGAATTGATCTTATAAATCGCTTTATCCCACTGCTGCCCTTGTCGGAGACAGCAGGTAAATAATTAGCCCCACGTTTTTCCTGTTATGCAACGAGTTCTAATGGAGGAATGCCATTTTTTTTGTGGCATTGCATTGTTTCAGGTGGACGTTACAAAAGTTGGAAGAGACGGTGGTTCATCTTGAACGATAATTGTCTGTATTACTTCGAGTATACGACTGACAAAGAGCCACGGGGGATCATTCCACTAGAGAACATTCAGGTCAGAGAGGTGCAGGACAGAAACAAACCCCATTGCTTTGAACTCTATGCTGCTGGCTCTGAGTTCATCAAGGCGTGCAAAACTGACAGCGAGGGGAAAGTCGTTGAAGGTATATTAAGATTATATTATGGGTTGTTGTCGTAGGACAAGGATTTTAGGGAGAAATTACGTGGTAGGTTAAATATATTGTTTTTTCAGGAAAACATACGGTGTACAGAATGTCAGCTGCAACTGACGAGGAGAAAGACGAGTGGATCAAGTGTGTCAGGTAATTTCTATGATTTATTTTATTCATTATTACCCCATTGTACAGAGATATCCAAGGAAAGATAAATTTTATATGTTTATATTCATATTTGTAGACAAAGTATATCGCATAATCCATTCTACGACATGCTGGCTGCTAGAAAGAAGAAGGCTCAGAAGACGAATGTCCACTCGAAGAGTTAAAAATCATGAAAGCACAGTGGAAATAATTGGAGAGGATGCATTTCCCAGGGGATGACGCTATGCCGAATGTCTCTTTTCTTTCACATCATCCCCAATCGTCAGGGGCCACTCAGACGTTCTAAAGAGAACAAATAACCAAATAAAAGAGCATAACTTTCGTCTCCCTCTTGTGCCATTCAGAGGGGACAGAAATCAAAATAATTATCGCTGAACTACGTATTCCTGGTGAGATGTACGATAGAATATTTATTTATTTAGTTTATTGCGTTATTTGCTTCCTATACCGATACGTGGAGACTGGTAATTTCATATTACTATTTATTTTGTAAATGTCCTTTGTGCGATGGTCTTTCATTATTTTGTTTACTGATGCTCGGAGGTGAAAGCAAATTGTAAAATAGTCGACAGACGTCAGTTTATTGAGACCAGTGTAGAAAAAGAATTTCATTTGAGAATTAACGGTCGTGAGAACGTGTTAATGTGATAGTTGTATTTATAATCCACGGAGGAAAGAGGCAGGAAATATCTAGAGTTCAGAGACTGTAGACTCCTTTTCAGTTGGAGGGTCTCTCTATTATTGATCAATAAAATTTGAATAGCTACTGAAAGTGCAGCCAGAACTACTGAACATGTTTAGTTTTGGGGAATTAATGCGAGGAAATTAGTTGACGTGACACTGGAATGGAATATTTTTCATTCGATTGAACAATGCAAATTGTAATGATCTATATATATTTGAATACGATAGTACAATTTATTGATTTGAGCGATGATTCAGGCAAGCCGAATAGAAATGCTTTACAGGTGTTTCATTTACGAAGAAAAATAGGGGTTTTGCATGATATTTTTTCACTGCGAGGTACGAAAGCTGGAATTAAGAGGGATATCCAAAGTCTTCATTTATATTAGCCGATCGGAACAAACAAACGTGCAGAGCAAAAATATTTCTTATTTCTCGTAAATAATCGTTAGAAATTTTTGATCGTAATTATCTTTTTCCTCAAGAGAGGTAAGTTTTATTCGACTCAAGTGACTTGCAACTGAATACTTGAACATCTCAATTGAGTTTTCATTTGAATTCAACTTATTTTGAGGTAAAAGATGGACAGTTTTTTGGATTGCCGAATTTTTTCTGGAAGAATTATTTTTCCTTTGTGTGTATCAATATTTTCTCCTCCGATTCCCGCAAGTAATCTTCTTGATTAAAGTTTCATGTAAATGTCCCTATTGATGATGAGGTGTTATGATTTTCATATATATGTTGAGAATAGACGAGTGCTTTTGTAATTATCGACGTCAACGAATGAATTTTCTGTACAACCGGGGAAACGTCGAACATCGAAGAAGCCTTACTACTTGATAAACAAGAGAGTGAAGAGAAAATAAAACATAAAATAGGCCAAATAATAATAATAATTGAAGGGAAGACAATTGCAGCATGATGTGGTTGAATTTTTTCTGCAATTTAAGATAGTGTGAATGCTTTTTTTTTCGTCAGCCCTTTGTTGGAGGTTGTAATAGAAATATTTTCTATTCGAAATGATGAGCTGAATCGATAGTCCCGAGTGATGAAACCGGTATCAAGTCTGATATAATGTAAATCGCCACCGCAAAATTAATTTCAAGTGTTGATTCTGTACAGCATCTCATCCCTTATCCGTGGAATATGTTGGAGGATAAGGAGATTATGAAATGAGGGGTGGAGAATCTCGATGATCGCTAACTCACCGATTTCAGTATCGTGCAATAATTACTGTGGCTTCGACAATTCATTGAGATTCTTCACGTGTTTTTGTTTATTCGTTTTAATGTATAATATGAGAGAAATATGGAATAACTGAAGAGATGGTGTATTCTATAGTTCACTAATGAATTTGTATATTTTGTTGTATATTATTGGTTTCTATGAGTTTCGAATAATTTGTTATTGTATATTAGCGATGAACTGTGTAGAAAACCGAAAAGACCATGTATGTATTAATTTAAATGCCATTAATAAATAAATAATTTGATTTCGTAAAAATTTTCTGGTCGTTCACGTATCGCTGATTGTTTCAATTTTTTTTACTCGAGAGCACGCTATAATTGATTAAAGACAAATTGGTTATTAATTATTCCATCGATAGTAATATTTGTTTTCTGCAAAAATACGGAACGAATTTGAAATTGCCTTCCGCTCCCGGCATTCCAATATGGCGCTGGCTACAGCGAGTGTGTACTCTCTGACATGTGCTCTTGGCTTTTTCGCTTAAATTTGAGGTAAAAACGTGAAAATAATTAAAAATATCTACATTATTCGTCTACCGATAGTGTTCAGACGCAGATGAAATTATATTAGAGAGAGAAAATTCTCCGATATCTGCAGGATCAGACCTGTCGAGACTCAAAATGGCGGCCGGCGTACAACTGTACAGAGGATCTCGTGTTCGCCGATGTGTTTCGTGGAAATAAAGTGTAAAATCAGAACAATTATTGAAAATAATGAGACAATCGGGCGATGTGATTAGCGGGGATCATTGGACGATGAAATGAACATTTATTGTGGTGTATTACAAGTGCTAGAACATTGTGAAAATTGAATGGTGTAAATATCCCCGAACCCGTGCGTTTAAATATTGTTGGGGCCAGGAGATGGGGCCTGTCGCCTCATTCTGAAAAAGGGACTGATGCTTGAGTCAGTATTTTGTGTTAATTTCAATTTGAATTAATTAATAATGTGCTCGATGTGCGTAATTCTTGGAAATACGGCGCCTGAAGGTTTTTATTTGTGAGTGTGTGACTGTCGACGGCATGAAGGCCATTTGTGGGGATACATTGTGATCGATTTGTTGATAAACAAGGAAGAGGACAGACAATGGATTGTCCGAAGTCGCGGGTGAGAGTGAGTTTGTGTTTGATTTTAAAATGTGAAGCAAATGAAATGACGATTTCACGAATTTCTGAGAAATTAACGTGAAAAAACATACCGTCTCCAAGTTTTATTACTAGCCAACGTCTTATGAAGTTTCATTACCGTGGAAGAATTGGACATTTACAAAAATTCACAAAATTTTCTCAAAAAATGAGAAAAATAGAGGCATCAGTATGAAACGATGTGAGCCAGTGATTAATGATAAAAGAAAAAACGTTATATCCTTTCACGTCAACATGACTCATGGTTTACCAAAAATTTACGGAAAACCAGAAATGAGAGGATATCGGCAATAACTCTTTAGTGATCAAAGTGAATAAATAAAGATTTTGAAATTGTTGCAGTGAGATGTGAATAGTGAAAGTGGTTCCAAGATAAGACTGGTGCGAAAGGGTGTCCTCAGGAGAGAAGGTGCAATGAAAGAGAACTCCAGGGATGGATCTCCAGGGGTAGCAGCTGAGACGGTACGAGAGGTGGAAACCCAGGAATTTCCATCCAACACCGGTGAGTGATTTTATTATTCATCTCTAGTTGCGTCACGTAGAAAATAATTAGGAATTGCAGGAAATTGAAGCATTCATGGGGATGTTTCTCATTTTTTAATGATAATTCTGAGAGAATTAATGGGAATTATGCTGCGATCTTGTATAGGGCTCTTTTTACATTTCCATTGTCTTGGAAGAATATGTTCTATGATGAGTTATTTCTATTTTTCTGCGGTATGTACTCATGTAATCCTCAAAAGGATTAGTCCTGTCTGAGTGATTTTTATTTTCAACAAATAGAATACACAATACGATCTCCTTCTTGAACACTCATACATATATTATCGGTATTCTTATTCTATTTATTATTTAACTAGAAAAATAACGTTAGCATGGAAGGACATCGTAGAGATGTACCACGTAAAAATAATCAGAAGGAAAAAGTATTAATAGTACACGATCTAAGGTACATAAATAACTTTACAGAATACGCGGTACCTTGAGGTACACTGGTATTAATTTTCCCCGAGTTGTTAAGGTATTTTGTTGGAAAAATATGAATGATGGCATTCATCTTGAATTTACATAAGTATCTATAATGTCAGGTAGATATGCGTGGAATTTGAACATCAGATTTTGTCTTCGTGTGGTCAAAGTTATTGTGCACTGGAAGCTAAATCTGAGGTGTCCATGCGTAATCTGATGGTTGATGGATGGTCTATGGAAATTTTCAATCAATGTCATCATTTTTTAACTCTTTTTTTTCTATGGATAGCCCTTGAGGTCATTGCTGGCGCTTGAAAATTAATCGATATCTATTGACATTTGTTTTGTTTCGCACTCATCCATCCTTTGGCGTTAAGATGATTTCTCTAGTTATATTGGCGCCCAAATATCAACGTCCTCATTAAATATTCTCGGATGTTTGGATATCGAAATCACTGAACTTCACAGACGAAGTAGGTTTCGAAACTGCAGGGACTGTCGTTCCATTTGAGCCCCTTTCCATCACGATTCCAAAGTTCAAGGCAGTGTTCTTCTTCTCCGTTTTCGTACCTTTGGGTAGAAAAGAAAATAATTATTATTTTACCCATTCATTTATCTAGTTCGTGGTAGGGATCATCTCTAGGGATCTTCGATAAATCGATGAAAATATTCACGGAAAATAGAGGGAAAGAATTCGGATAAACCTGTAGAATACCATCCTTACCCAAAATTTGTCGAATACCTTGACTAAGGCAAATATCTTGACTTAGGAATTTCACATATATGCGGGGATTTAATATCATGTCATGGGTTTTGAAGTGATTAACAATAGATTCAGTTTATAAATTAGGAAAAAATGTATACGCCTAGGGAAGAGAAGGAAATGGGTAGTCTCGAATTTGAAGTGCAGTCTAGTTCGTTAGGTAAATTTTGCAGAGGTGCAAAAATGTAATATTAATGAAGCGAGGGAATTACCGAAAATTATTGGGCTCCCCAACATTCCAATTCTCAAAGGTAATGGGTCTGCCATTTGCCATCCAGAAAAACGTGCCCTCCTCAGCCTGATCGGTGCCAGATGTCCAGAAGTGCTCATGACCCAATCCAAAGTCCTTGATGTGCTTCTCCAATCTGTCGTTTTCCTCCTGTGATGCAATACTGGCCAAGTGCATACCGTGGTAACGACAATACTGCGAGGCTCGGTACCAATTTGCCTGATTATCAAAAAATTACATGCTGTAGAATGGGATGTCGTATGATGCGTTAATTTTTCGTCTCTCGAGTTGTTAACTTTCACGTCAATTTACAGCCAATCGAGAAAATAGATAAAACGTATCGGGGGAAAAATGTTAACTCGTTAGGAATGTGTGGGGAAGCTATTTAATGATGATGATGATGTACTATATTTTCTCGGTGTTACGGCTTATTTCGCAACGGTCATTTGTCATACGAGTTTTTTTTTTTTTTTGTTTATTTAGCACTTTCTTAGCGGATGAGAAGCTTTTTATTTGCATTTCTACTGTGGAGTAGGTAAACGTTAAGGAACAGCGCAGGAAATAATCGAGTTTGCATGGATTAGGGGGTGGGTAATTATTATGATAACGCGGGTTATCGCGAGAGCTTGGGGGTTATGTGTTTTCGTGTTTTTAGAATACTGTTCGATGTACTTGAAATGTTGGGTTATCATTAATTTAATAATCTCGGTAATTATAACCGGCTGACTAAATTATTTTATTGATCTAATAGCTCGTAATACTTCAGATAAATTGGGTATTCGAATAATTCAAACAATTTCCGCCAGTAAATTGTTTCATCAGAATAAGAAATAATTCTGTAATAAAGATTAATAGACAATTCGTTTTTTTTTTGTTATGAAATTTGGAAAAATATTGTAGCAATAATAAATTTGTTTCGTTCCAAAAAGACATGACATTAATTCAATAAAAAATTTAATCACCGGTTTTTATTCTTTGCGAGAAAAAGAAATGATAGATCTGCGAATTTATTTAAAAGAATATATCAATTTTGAAGTTTTGGAGTCATTGAAACATTGATATTTTATTTTTTCATTGATCTTAATTTGTTTTTCTTTCTTTCATTGATATTTGAGTTACGAAAACACTGAGAATGGAAGGGGATGCATTACATTTAATGCAATTGTTCAAGAACATGAAAAACAGTATGATAATGTAAAGTAATATACCATAATATAATCTAGATATTATTCCGCAAGAAATATAACTCTTTACATAACTGCATCCAAAAAATCGTTAAAAAAAAAGTCTTCAGAGAATTTTAGCCGTGAATACCTTGAAAAAAATTCCCAAGTAATATCTCTTTTCACCGAGTTTTAAAAGGGGCATTGTCCATCTGGAGGGTGTAGCAAGACCACCTGCATGCTCATCCACGCAATTAGGACAGTCATCTGAAAATAAATAAAAAGAAAACACGTAATGATAAAATATGGGAATAAATGTCAATGGGCTGGTGAACCCGGTAATATTGAAGAATATAAGTCAAGTTATTATAATCAATTAATATCGAAATAATTGTGCAATCATTTGTAATTGGCATAAAGCACTTAAGAACTCATTACAATTATCCTGGGAGATAATGAAGATTTTTCAATTCTTTCAAATGTCATAGAGAAACTTTTTATTCTCGTCACAGGCCATTAGATGAATTGAATATAAAAAATGCATTTCAACTACAACTCAGTTCGTTGGAAGAGCCATCTAATTTGTACTTTAATCATTTGTTGTATTCGGCCTATGGTAGAGACTTTGGAAACGACTATTTCGCTAATTTAATTTCACCAACTGCTTTTCAAGCGACAAGCTTTGGAAGCGCCAGTTTACGACCAACTTTTTTCCCTTCCTCACTATTTTTTTTTCTTTTCTTTTCTTTTTAATGAAAAAGTTTCAGTCGCGGTACAACGAACGTGTTGAAGGTACAAACTTACGTTAAAAGCTGTTGCTTTGGGACTATTTCACAGAGGTATATAAGGGGAAAGATTCTGGTCTCACAAGATTATTCTCGGTGTATAGGAAACGTTTTTTATTGAATTTCTCGGGTTCTTTCAGCGGCCAATCAGGGGAAGCGGATAATTCACAATGAATATAATTTTTATTTCTGGAAAAGGCATTTGACATTTTTTCAGTTCAGTTGGAGTTCTGTTCAGTTCTATAAATTCATTATACGTGTCGTATTTATATTCTGTTGCTGGGAGATTAATTAATTCCTGTGTTTGAGGTCTCGATTGTTTACTTCGATTGAATTCGTAGGGCATAGATATCTCTCAATTTCAATTGGAGTAAATCAGACGCGAAAATACCATTAGAATAGCCAATCTACTCTGAATCGCATCTAAATGAAATTCTGGTGAATGGCCTTGGGTCTGCTCGTCTGTAAAACTTCTCGTTTCATCCTCAAGTTCACTTGATTGTCAAGTCCATTTGTTTTATCGAAACACATGGCCCAGTCTGGTAGACCTCAAGGGATAAGACAAATTGTTGGAAAATTGAAATGATTGCTTGTGCAATTTTCTTTATTGTGTTCCGCCTTGCTGTTTTTGTCGGTTATTTTTTAATTGAGTCGATGATTAATTGGAGAATTGTACACGGGGGGTAGTTGGGGGGAGGAATTGTAGCGCTAGATTCTCCCGTGGTGATTTACTTGAAACAATGAAAAATTTTATCTGGATAGCATTTGATTTTTTTATTGCTAATATTTATAGCTAGATCGCGATAGAATTGAATTATCAATATAGCAAGTAACATGAATTTCCTCATTAATCAATACTTTAATGATTCATTCAATTTCCTCCGCACTTTTGGAAAATTACACCTGAAATTTTTGTACTACTCTTTACCATTATTGAATATTCGGGTAAATATCAGTCATCAGATTTATCTGGCGCTAAAAAACCAAGAAAATGTGTAAAATTCCAGTTCATACTTTTCCCGAATTTTGAGTGTAAATGAAAAATTTAGTAACCATTTCAAATTGAATTACAATTCAAACTCATATAATTGAAATTTAATATAATTTTGTGACTGAAATTTCAAGAAATTATCGACAGTCCACTTGTATTAATATTGAGTCATGACTCCTCGTTTTCCTGAAAATCATTATTGTTTAAAAGTAGAGTTGTCAATTTATTTGGAATATTATAAATTATTAAAGCAATGATTGAATGATGATTAAAGCAATAATAATTTGATTTTTTATTTAATCTACTGCCACTAGAATTTTTGTGAAGCCAAATTAATTCGCGGTATTACCTAAAAAAAAACGAATAATTACCGGAAAAAAAAAAGAATTTCTTTAGAATTTTCTCAGAAGTAATATTCTACACGATAACTGAGCGTAAGGGTGAATTATTACTGATACGATAAATGAATGCCTGTGCGTCGAGTTATAGTACCATTTTTATCGGTTAAGTACATTTTAATCGTAACTCATATCGATGAAAAGGAAGGGATGGCGATGTAGCAAATTTTTCTTATAAAAGTGAGCGGTAACGTACAGAGGTAAATGCAACGTGTGTAATGCATACTGATACGACAATCAAAGCTTAATCCTATCCTTCACACTGTTAGCAGTCGAAGCCAGACTTCTCCTTTCATCCATGGTATAACTAGTGGCTGGATATTTTAAGTAGACGTGGTAATACCGACGGGTGTTCTCTACAAATTTGGTGGGAGGTGAAATGCACGGGTGTACAATAACGTGTCGTTGCATTGGTGAGACCAGTTAACATGACGCACACTCCTTTCCAATAGCTCCTGGCAACAATTTTAAGCTTACCCCTTTAGGTACTCGCCAACTTGGACTTGTATGTTCATATCGTGGATTGAGAAAAGCCCCGGGTGAAATTTGGAATTGCGCCCGTAACGTGTAGGTGATCCGTTTTGTATTAGCACACCGAATATACCTGCGTTTATTATCATTCTCATTTTCTTTCTCGATTTGTGAATTTTATGGTCTTCTCATTTGCTGCTATGGAAACGGTTAATTGTGGTTTTACGCTGAGAATAGTATTTTGTGCATCAAGGGCGGAAAGTCAGTTTTTTACCGCCCAAGGCGCATATGCTACTTTTTGATATGCCTTCAAAGGAAGTTTCCTAGTTTTTTCTGTCTGAAAAGCGGAAGGAAAGTGAATACTTTTCGCCCTGGGGTGGATTTTCTCACCTTGGCAGCAGCTTTCTGGCCGAGGACGGGAAGTACTCACTTTCCCCCCGTCTATCAGGGCGCAAAGTGCGAACTTTCCGTGCAGATGTGTTGAAAAACATTGAATTTATATTTGTCTTCTGTCTGAGACGCGGAAAAAAACAATTCACAGATTTTCAGGGCTATGCAAATAAAAATTTGCAGCACCTACATTTTTTTAAATATTTTCCTTTCACAAATAAATAATATGCACTGTTGATTCTAAAAGCAAGTCGCAATTTTCACAAGTAAATTGGTTCGTTTTTTAAAATGTTTTGAATGAAAACAATAGATATGGTTGAATGTTTTTTTTTTCTTTTAATTTTAACGAGGAGTATTAATATTCATCAAATCGAGAAATTCCAGTTATAGTACGCTGAATTGAAATCAATAAATCTCTGTCGGTGTTTTCGTTCTGTTAAAAAAAGAATATCATGGAAAAATAGAAATCGGATTTTTGAACAATTACATGCCTCGGGAAATTGAATGTTTTTTGGATGGATTCAACAATTTTTACCGTTTCTGGTATTTTTCGCGTTTAGTGTTTCCAACTGCTGGAACATGTGTGCCTTTTCTCCCATTTCCAGTACTTCGAAAAACCCCAAGCGTTCTCTCTGATGCTGCGTAAACACTTTGTCGGTACACTGCAGGTGGCATGCAGCATTTGCCATTCTGCTTAGTCGAGTGTATGCTCAAGGTACCAAAACGTCATCTCGTACGCCAATTTTTTTAGTCTTCAAATTTGCCATTCACCCATTTTTCCATGGATTATTTCGCGTTATTGCTTTTGTCAATACTATCCGTCATATATTGATTCGGTAAATGTCTAGGACCACCCCCGACGAGACTTCTGTAAGGTGTAGGATGGGCTGTTTAGGTTTCCCGATCTTCTTTCAGAGTCTGAAAACCCTTTTTAGGAGATATGACGGTTAATACACCGCTCGGACACAACCCTAGGGCGGAAAGTATTCACTTTCGTACTTCTCTTCAGACAGCAAGACACAAAGTTTTCTTCGCAGACATCTTAATAAATTGGATGGGCACCTTGGGCGGGAAAATATTGACTTTTCGCCCTTGATGCATAATATACTATTCTGATGATTGTGTTTGCATCACAATCGCCACACCGAGAGAAAAATTCTTTAAAAATTACGTGACTGTTCCGTAACCTGCCAGTTAAAACAATATTCAGTCAAAATTTCCGAATAGTTACGCACTTTTTCAGTGGACTTGTCGCAAAAAGTCCAAAACGTTCACGAGAAAATACAGAACGTTCAGTGAAAAAATGCGTAACTGTTCCGTAATTTTTACTGAATACTGTTTTGACTGGCTGGTTATGGAACAGGCACGTAATTTTTAAAGAATTTTTCTCTCTGTGCAGAAAAACTCCTAACGACTCCTAGTGACGGAATATATTATTACGCGCGTAGCGAGCGCGTGGTGGGGGTGGTTGCATATTGTTCCCCATTCTCGGAAATCGCTTCTCCTACAGCCCCATGCACGCGACTATTAACGGGAGTCTACTGTAGTTATTTTTGAAAGATAAACGCATCTTGGGAACAACTGAAATCTCGAAATTTCGGGGAGAGAAATATTTGATCAGAATAATCTTGACGTTTTGTAATCGTATATTTGCATTGTTTTAATTATTGGAGAATTCCAGTTGATACTTTCTCAATCGAGTGATTATCGGATACTTTACTGATTTATCTTTTTATATTTGTTTAGACACGGACAAATGTTTGAAATTGAGAATGAAACAATTTTCAACAGGTGTTATTTTTTTCTGTTATTTTTTTTCAATTGATTATACATTATTTCCATTTCTATTCATTAAATATTTTGAGTAGTAAACGATGCAAGGTTAACATTCTCCTTAATTATCAATTCATGGGGTACAGATTAGAGGTTTTAAAAGAAATATCCTGTCTTAAAGTCAGTAGTTTTGTTAGATCAATTGGTATTCAAAAAAACTGGAACTTACTCTACAACTTCGCTGTTAATGTTAAATTCCAATCATGAAATAGATTTATGAAATTACTCAGCCAGACAATTGGAATTTTCCATGTTTCTTTAATAACAATTAAAAGGAAAAGGACTAGAGGACCACTAGATAATTCTTAATAGCTGATTAAATTTTCGGGAAAAAATATGCCTTGACATTTGATCATAAAGTTAAAAGTAGTTCGGGTCAATCGATAGTCAATAAAAATA